CACATATATTATGTAAACAAAAACTTTTATTTTGAATGCGATTAATCATGATTAATCACTTGACAGCACTAATATGAATATATAAATATATATTTATATTTTTAAAGAAACTTTTTTTTTTTTTTTTGCATTGTGACATTACTTTCATGACCGTTAATATCATTGTCCCTCTTAAAACATTTCGCTTTTTTTTTTTTCTGTAATTCCTGTTATTCTTAAAGGTGATTATCATTAGATTCAGATTAATTTGTACTTTGGTCATGTCATTTTTTAAATGTTTTTATTTAGGAAAATAAACAGAACACAACAAATAAGCATTACATTACATTTAGTCATTTAGCAGATGCTTTTATCCAAAGCGACTTACAAATGAGGACAACAGAAACAATCAAAATCAACCAAAAAAAGCAATAATTGCTGTGACAAGTCTCGCTTAGTCTATAACGCAGTACACATAGGCCTGGTTTCACAGACAGGGCTTAGACTAAGCCAGGACTAGGCAATAGTTCAATTAGGACATTTAGGTCATTTTTATTAACGTGCTTTAGAAAAATCATTACTGGTGTGCATTCTGAGACAAAACCGAAGCAATTATATATTTTAAGATCAGTCAGTGCAAGTTCCTTTCAGTTAAAACTGCTCAGACTTACACTTTAGTCTTGGGACTAGGCTTAAGCCTTGTCTGTGAAACCGGGGGATAGTACTTTAAATAGAATATAATTTTTAATTACATTCATGAAGAATTGGGACAAATATGCCTACTTGCTGCAAAAAATGATTAATTGTCCTAAAAAGCATCCTTGACAGGGTTTTTAGAGATTCAAGAGAATAAAGGAAAGATATTTTCCGTTTTTCGGTAACTGCACACTGCATTTCTGTTTTGTCAGGTTATATTGACGGAGGTGGGCGACTGGCGTAAGAACGTTGAGGCCATGTCTGGTATGGAGGGCAGGAAGAAGATGTTTGATGCTGCTGGAGGAGGACAGTAATAGGAGTGTATATAAGAGTGTGTATAATTGTGTATATGTATGTGTGTGCATTTGTTATTAGTGACAGGTAAAATCAAAATGCATGAATATGCAAAATATGCATTAATACAAATCTCTAAAGAAAGCTTGTAACTATATGAATATGGAAATGTTTAATGTTACTTCATTGTATACTATTTACCCATTTAAGGTTAATACAATTTTGATTGTGCGATTCATTATGACAACAGACTGTCATGATATTTTTAACACACACTGGATGGATAGAACTTCACAACCTTATGTGATTGACAGTTTGGGTTCCTCTTACATATCAGGGTGGTGAGGTCACGTTAACAACGGACTCATTCAGATTATTCCCACTGTGTGACTGACTGTGTGATTGTGCTCAAGGATAAAAGAAGTCAGTGTCTCTACTGTCACTTTTGATCAATTTAATGCATCCATTATGAATAAAAGTATTAATTTGTATGATGCATTATAGTTGTTTTGTGATGTAGGCTGTATCTATTCAATACTATGCAGTTAGAAATATGCTAATATTCCATTCTGAATATAAAAACAACACTGATAATAGAGTCAGCTCCTTTAAATATGTTAAAGTTTAAACAATTGAGTGAGATAATGAGTGTGTCTATCTTTGTACTTTGCACTGACAATGTGGTGAGCTCAGCTGACTGTAGACCTGAGGATACACAACTCTAAATAAATGCAAGCCTTCACGAAATATAGCCCGCCTACGTATACAATTAAAAGGTATTTGTAGAATTTAAACATGTTCAGAGGGAAGCCAGAGTCTCCTGTTCTTATTTTAAACCTTCACAAGCTCATACCAACAGATGGAGGGCCCTCATTTAACTTTGTAGATGCTCTGGAATTAGGTGCTGTATTTGTGTTTTTCTCATTATACAGTTTGAAAACACTATACGATAAATGCAGTGTCTCATTTAAAATCTCCACAGTTGGAGAATACTGCACATGGAGACTCATCAAATACAATGCTGAATAAGTGACCATTTCACAAAATATTTTTCCACTTTAAAGCAAATGCATGTATGTATTTTACCTTGAAATATCAGTCTCAAAATCATTCTCATGGTACGTTGACTTATGGGGCGAATAGCTTGCTCACAAACTACAGTGGAAAATTGTATTAAAGGGATAGTTCACCCAAAAATTAAAATGAAAATTACCCCCATGATTTACTCACTCTCATTTCATTAATTCACTTCAGAAAGTCTTTATACACCTAGAAAGTCACGTACACCTAGGGTGACCATACTGCTCTTTTCGGACAAACTACTTTTCGATCATTACCTTCAGCAAGAGTGAAAACAGGAAAACAAAGCCAAAACCTGGATATTTTAGGCAATATAGAAAATCTGGCCAGGATGTGTCCGGGAAAAAGAGCATTATACACCTAGGATGGCTTAAGGGTGAGAAAATCATGGGGAAATTTTCATTTTTGGGTGAACAATCCCTTTAATGCAGCTTCAAAGCAGTTCAAGCATGAAAAGCATTTATAATTTTTTTTCAAAAGAAATGTACCTGCTTCCACTATAAACAAATCATTTACATTTGCAGAACTGAGAATCCTACTGCAGTACTGAGAAATGTTCTTCGAGGTCTTGGTCTAGTTATTTATTACAGCTATGATGCACATTTACAAGCAGCTATTTCTGGAGTCTGGCACAACAGACAGGGATCAGCCTATGTAACGATGGAGTGATGGAACAGAAGAATGATGAAGCTAACATGCCGACAGACAGAAGACTGAAAGGAAGTACATTATCCAATGCTGCAGTCAGACAGTAAACTAATTAATATATTTGCTTAATGCTCATCAACAGGTGATGCTGATATTGATTATATAACAAATAAAACACACTGAAGAAATCTGAAGAAATTTTAAGGTTGTTGGTGTCTGCATGAATGACTTAAAGGTCATTTTTCATTTTGCTGCCAACAAAATATTTGGAAAAATAAATAAAAAACAACTTGATTTTTTTAAGTAACACACTATTGACTGTCAGATCTACAATGCATCGCATTTTTATTTATTTTTTTACAAAAAAGCCCACCAAAAAAAAAACTGCAAGGCAGCAACATTTAGAGCATGTGTAACCATTAAAAAGAATCTCTGTAAAAACAGCGCCAAATCCCTACACAAACCAGTGTACAGTAGATATTTCCATCTGATTTCCTCCAAATTAAATACAGCAGAAGGCACTTATGAGTGAGCATGTTTTATGTCAGCTTTCTCATTTGGACAATTTTGCATGTAATTAATCAGTACAAACTCCTAACAAACCAAATAAGAACCCTACAGTAAAGAATTGAAATCGACTGTGTATGATGAATATTAGGATCTAAATAATACTGTACAGTAATACTGTACAGGATTGAATCAGTCTAAATCATCTTGAGCCAGGTTTGCTCATCGGAATGTGTCATGAACACAAGAAAACTGGCTGTTCGGGTACCTAACGCTGGATAATCCCTTTCTCTTTTGTATAAAAAGAACATTTTCCTTCAATACCACTACAAAATGGCAAATATCCAAAATAAGAAAACAAATAGCTAGGTCATTTCATACCCTCCTCAAAATAAATTACATTTTGCATAAAGAGAATTAAGCCTTGAATGAAGGTATTGTGACATTATTCTCTCTTTTGTATAAAAAGAACATTTTCCTTCAATACCACTACAAAATGGCAAATATCCAAAATAAGAAAAAAAATAGCTAGGTCATTTCATACCCTCCTCAAAATAAATTACATTTTGCATAAAGAGAATTAAGCCTTGAATGAAGGTATTGTGACATTATGTATGTTCAATGACAATTAAGCACATCTATACTAATAATGTTCCTGTATATCACAAAAACAAAAATATGAATGAATTTTTAATATTTAAATCAGCATACAGACCAATGCTACCATGATTTTAAATTTAAATGATTTTACTTTAAATTGAATAATATGTCTATTTTCTGCTTTATAGTAATACGAATTTGGGAGTAAAACTATTCTTTTAACATAAGGTAATTTCTTTTGTATTTTGAGGGTGATATACGACAGATGTGTTTTTGACAGGCTTTGTGAGATTGATTTGAAAACAGAACAGCATTTCTAACCTGAATGAATTCACTTTCTTAGACAAACACGCTCTGTGAATATTGCACTTCTCTTTGGTTTTGGCATTAAACCCTCACCCAAGACACCTGAATAAATACACTTTTTCTCAATATATACATCTCATTGAACGTCATACTTCTAGCTGTCAGAACAGAATACTCAGCCAGACGTGACTGAAGGCATATTATTGACCTGGAAGTGACGACAACGAGACAGTGATGCTGAAGCCATCAATAACTTGTATCGGTTCCTTTAAAGTCGGTTTTTCTTGATAGCATAGCTAGCTTGGGAGAAACATTCCAACTTTGGAAATGATCCAGTGAGGTTTGGATGCAACAGTGTTACACAACTCATCTTCAACCCAAACATCACAGGCGTCCTTGTCCTGAGTCTCTGTGTGTTTCCACCTCAAATTCACCTTCTGTCAGATGTGACCTGGAACTCATCCAGAATGTCCTGAAGTTTAAAGTGCCATGGTAACCGTTGCTCAGCAGTGGCGAGACTGTTGACATGGTTACGTGTTGCGCAGCATCTGGCGGTTCCACATTCCACGCTTTGAGTGAAAGTGATGGAAGAAGTTCCTCAGGTAGAGTCGTTCCACCTCCAGCCCACCCTGAAGGATCCTTGAGACCACAGAAAACAGAAAGCACTTCAGACACCAAATAATGTTTGTTTAGCATTAGAGATTATAGATATTAAAATTCTGTCTGACACAAAAAGCTGCATTATTTTCACATTACAGGCAATAGCGGATGCAACAGTGTTACACAACTCATCTTCAACCCAAACATCACATCACACCCTTGTCCTGAGTCTCTGTGTGTTTCCACCTCAAATTCACCTTCTGTCAGATGTGACCTGGAACTCATCCAGAATGTCCTGAAGTTTAAAGTGCCATGGTAACCGTTGCTCAGCAGTGGCGAGACTGTTGACATGGTTACGTGTTGCGCAGCATCTGGCGGTTCCACATTCCACGCTTTGAGTGAAAGTGATGGAAGAAGTTCCTCAGGTAGAGTCGTTCCACCTCCAGCCCACCCTGAAGGATCCTTGAGACCACAGAAAACAGAAAGCACTTCAGACACCAAATAATGTTTGTTTAGCATTAGAGATTATAGATATTAAAATTCTGTCTGACACAAAAAGCTGCATTATTTTCACATTACAGGCAATAGCCAATATTAATATTCTAGACAAGGCAAGTTTATTTATATAGCACATTTCATACTATATATGATGGCAATTTGAAGTGCTTTACATAAACGTCACCTCCGTGGTAAAAAAGATCAAAGATGATCTGGATAGGTGGATGGATCTAGCTATATCCTGGCTGGGTCGGATAGGGTTAATTCAAATGAACATCCTCCGTATTACACATGACTCCAATTTACATTGGCAGGAATATGATTAGGGATCTGGAAAAGCATTTCTCAAGGTTTATTTAGCATAAAAACAAACCAAGAATGAAAATCTACTAAATACAATTAACAATTGAGGCTGGTGGTCTCTCCCTCCCTAATATTTGTTTCTATACCTGGTCTTGTCATGCTAGAATCCTACTAAACTGGTGTCAGGATATGCACTCAGCTATGAATATTGATTTATTTTTTACTTTGCCATATTCTCCATTCAGCCTGCTTACTGGGACACGAAGTACAATTATCCTGAATATGAAAAGCAATCCCTTTCTTCAGGGTATATTAAAGGTGTGGCGAGATATCTGTTAATTTTTTGGTAACAACAGCTCCCCAGTGTTATTGACGCCTCTCATTAGGAATCAGGTTAAGGACAGTATGTTCCAGCAACGGTATAAAAATTGAATCAAATTTTTTCTTTATTTGTTTGATGGTGACATGCTTTCAACAGCTGTAGGATACATTTAACATGCCAAAGCAGCATTTCTTTGGCTATCTACAAATTAGACATTTTATACAAACCAAGATCCCTGGTTCTTCCCCTAGCTTGTCAAAATCTCCAATGGTTTATTTATTAATTCAAGAAAGCAAGTTAAGAAACGTGATTTCTGTAGTTTATTGCTCATTTCTCAAGCATGCTGGTCTTAATATTTCAGCATTTAGAAATGTGTGGGAGAAAGATTTTGGTAGCATCCCCGAGAACAAAGAGTAGGAGAAGGCCTTAAAACATATGGGCAGTATATTTATTTGCAACGAAGCAAGAGAAACAGTTTAAAATTGTCCAGCATTTGCATTGCACCCCATACATTCTTAACAAAATTAATCCACAAAGGTCATCAATTTGCTTAAAGTGTAAGAGTGTCGCTACACATAGCCATATGTTTTGGTTTTGCCCGTTAATCTCATGATTCTGGAGCAAGGTCCAAAGGAGATTAGAGAACATATTTGGTCAGAGCCGATCCTCCCTATACGCAAAATACGCAAGCTGCGTAGGGCCCCCGAAACACCAGGGGGCCCCCTTGCTATCAAAGATGATTTAATTTTAGTTTCGTTTTTGAATTTGGCCAGCGGTTATGAAAACGTGAATGATCATTTCTTTTAATGTGGTGCGCTGTCATTACAAATCATGTAATGTGAATGTCATACAGTCTTGCTCCAGACTAAAAAAAATGAGTTGACAGCGTACCGAGCCACGGAAGAAACACTGTTTCTCAAGCTCTTTCCGCGAGCACGATTCGAGACGGAGTGAAACACGGACAGATGTTTTTCATTCATTCGTTTATAACCACTCAATCCTAGGTCTAGTACACAATAACTCGACACTTGCACCAGGGGACTTAACTCTTGCTCAGAAGTTGATTTTTATTGCCCGAAGATGTATATTACTTAATTGGATTAAAGACAAACCACCATCAATTCACCAGTGGAGTTCGGAGATACTTTTAGATGTATCTGGTCTCCTTTTTTTGCCATCTTACCAGACTCAACTAAAGAAACTGTAGAGCTTGGCCCAATAGACATGACTTGGAAAATTCTTAATTTAAAGAAAATTGAATGCTGTTGTTATGTATGTATACTATCCAGGGGGTGGGGTGGGTGGGTATGTTTTTTTTTTTTATTTATGTAATTTTGCTATGTGTTATTTTGTATGTTATTCTTGTTAAAAACCAATAAACATTCAGTAAAAAAAGTGCTTTACATAAAAGTGATTACAAATAAAAATGTACATAGAAATAAAAAATAATAATAATATATATATATATTTTTTTACTATTTTAGTACAATTTTATACTATAAAATATATATTAGATATTAAGTTTTATTTTCATAAAAATTCTAATCTAAAAATGAGAAATCTTTAAATGCTGCCAGTGAGTTTAGGAATCACAACATCATAATGCACAGTATTAAAAATGATACTGACTTTTAATGATTAACTTGTATTAACTGTATTAAGTGTGATATTAGTGTATTGTCTCATGACTGACCTGTCCAGTAGTTCCCAGTCCTCTCCGCCCCAGCGGTCAGTGAATTCTTTGGTGTTCATGCCCCCAATGGAGTCCAGGTCTGATTTATAAATGCCCAGAAGACCAAAGCCATTGACCTCCCAATAACCTGCACATTACCAGCACAACCGTTTTCAACACTGAAAATAACAAGAAATGTTTCTTGTAGAGCCCTGCACGGGCCTCAAATCTAGGCCCTAGCCTGGCCCTTGTCCAGCTTAGCAGAATTGTCGGCCCGAGTCCGAATGGAGCCCGTGTCTTTTTTATCTCACTCTCTTCCCCATTACACAGCTGCTGTTGCAGCTATTTGATTTGAATGGCAAAGTGGTTATATTTCTTTTCGTTTCTTTAATAAGTTCATTTGGAAAAAAAGTTACATTAAAGTTTTTGTTTTTTAAAGTGACGACCAAGCGGCCAGCGGCAGACAGCGAGTTGATCACATGTTTGATCAATTTAGCCTTCTCAAATCAACACGACGTAAATAAGTCGGGCCCTGTCTGGCTGAAATGCAGGGCTCTAGTTTCTTGAGCACTAAATCAGCAATAGAATGATTTCTGAAGGATCACGTGACACTGAATACTGGAGTAATGGCTGCTGAAAATTCAGATTTCTTTCAAAAACATTAAAAAACAAATCTCATCAACCCCAATCTTTTGAATAACAGTGAATGTGTTGATATACAGTAATCTGATTTGGTGTTGTATATGACGGTTTTATCAGTTTATCTTGTGTTTGTAAGTCTGTACCATCAGGTTCCAAAGGTGTAGCGCCACAGTTCAGTCGCATGACTATCGGAGCAAAGGCCATGTGCCTCTCCACACAGTGTTTTCTCACAGTGTCGATGAAGCCAGGTGGAAAATGGATGTGCAGATCACAAAGAAACACAATACTGTGATCATCCTGAGCAAGAGACAGATCTTTATAAGCTGCAATTAAGTGACATCTATCACCTTGCATTAGTTCTGCTTTCATTTTCACTGAAGATCATGGCATGTTTCAAACAAGTATTAGAAATTCATGTCATGTGTCTGGTGCGTATTGCATCTTAAACTTACAGTAATGAGGTCTATTCCTGCCTGAAGTCCTGCTGATCTCTCAAAGTTTCCACTTAACCTGAGGTACTGATACCTGAAACAGAGGACACACAAAAGAAAGGGAATCAAAGTGGGGTCTCATTTTACTGAGTTGTAGTAAAGTGACTTTACCACAGGTTCAGAAAGAAATATGATAGCTACAGAAGCATGAGATGACATAATGTGCCATATGATCATGAAATCTAACTCTTGAAGGATCACTCTGCTAAGCGTGTATTTATAAACTGGTAAATGTACCTGGGTAAATAAGAGTTCTGTAGTGCTTGTTCTATGTTCATATCAGTGCTTTCATAGTCAGTAATGATGACGTTGAAGTTCTGATCTCCAGTGGTGCGGTATATCTCCTCCATGTCTGAAATAAACTGCTGCACCCAACGGGCCTGGTTCTTCACTGCAGACATACAAACACAGACAGTGCTTTATTAAGATATTTCATGCAGCATACAAAGAAACATGCCCAAGTCGTTTCCTTCACCAGGGATAGTAAGAAAGCATCTTGAATAAAACTTCTCTATATGAGAGTTACCTGGGATGATGAAGTGGACAGTAGCAGTCGGGTTCCAGTAGAAGCTATATGGATTGCAAAGCTTAAGTTCTTCACCCTGAGCATTTTGTTTTTTGTGAGAACCCCAGTCTTCAGTTCTTTTCACATAGATGTACTGAACCAGGCGCAGGTGGCGTCCTGAAGCCTCCAACAATTCCAGTTCCAGTAGATATCTACTGCCACGATTGTAATCAGGCTTCTTCTCAATGTTCACAATACGCTCTAGAGAGAACTGCCTACACACACCGATTAGTGTCAGAGATTAATTAAAATGTTCAGAATGGCATATTACTATACTATAAATACCGTTTTTACTGTGCACAGATTTTCTGTATTTATGCAAAACTATAGGACCAGAGCATACTGTGTGACATCCAAAATGCAATGCACTTCTAATTTCCTTCTAATTTCCATTATGATGGTGAATGAGCTGAAAATACTATTAACTAATATTTTTTTATTTAAAATGGTGTATTTAGAAAATAATAATTTAATATAAAAATTAAAATATTGCATACATTACAGTTACAAATTTTGGGTCGCTTAGATTTTTTAATGTTTTTGAAAGAGGTCTCTTATGCTCACCAAGGCTGAATTTATTTGATACAGAAAAATAGTAATATTATGAAATATTATTACAATTTTAAATACCCATTTTCTATTGTAATATATTTTGAAATGTAATTTATTCCTGTGATGCAAAGCTGAATTTTCAGCATCATTACTCCAGTCTTCAGTGTCACATGATCCTTCAGAAATCAGTATAATATGCTGATTTGCTGCTCAAGAAACATTTCTTATTATTATCAATACTGAAAACAATTATGCTGCTTAATATATTTGTGGAAACCCCAATGTGTTTATTTTTCAGAACTCTTTTATCAATATAACGTTTAAAAGAACAGCATTTAATTGAAATGGAAGTCTTTTGTAGCATTATAAATATCTTTACTGTCACTTTGATCAGTTTAATGTGTCCTTGTTGAATAAAAGTATTAATTTCTTTCTTTTCGAACAAACCCATATAAAAAAAGTTACTCTTTTGATGCAGGTTTCACAGGCAGTATTCTGTATAAACTGTTCCAAACAAAGCTCATAGAGTCTTATTTTGCATACTGCAGAATTAATTGAATATTAGATTCATTATAATTGTAACAGTCGGCCTACCTTGGATATTTCTTGTTTAGTTTCTTCATGAGAGCTTCCACTACAGACAACGCTTCTGATTCCTCAAGCAGCAGGTTTCCAGACACATTACACTTCAGATCGATCCAGTCGGAGCGCAAGGCATGCAGATCTAGGGGTTTAGCCTGGAACGTCTGACACCACTTAACTTCCACGTCATACACAACCCTGTTTGTGAGGTCATAGTCTTCGTCCCCCTGGCTCACCCAAGCATCGTCTTCATCTCCTCCATCTTCGACCTCTTCTATATGCATCGCATTATCCTGAATCTCCTTTTCCTTTCTGACGTCATTCACATGACCCCAGCGGCTGTTATATTCTTCGTTAGATGGAGCCGCGATGACCGATGCCTTATTCGATGAGTTTTGGTGTTGATGTTGGGTAATTTGGAGATGATGAGCCACATTTTGCTTGATAATACTGTTGTCATCTTCTACAGCCTTTTCAGGGTTGTCCTTCAAAAATTGCATGGCTTCATCTGCTTTATGTTTTGGGTGTTTGAGCCTCTTTATCGGTTCTGCTTTGACTTCATCCCCATCCAAGGAAGGCCGTTTATCTTTAACCTCATCTAATGTGTTCTTGGGTGCCCTGTCCACATGTTCTCCAAGATAGACTTTCCGATTACCCATTCGATTCACAAGATCATGACGTTCCTTCTGGACCTCATCAAACATGGCAGAGTTGGTCACTGATTTCTGCTTCATCTCATTGGCTTCTCGTATGTTCTCCATGGGAATATTTCTGTCTCTGACTGCCACAAGATTTGGATTTCCATCACTACTATTGCTGTATTTGGCTTTACGCAGGTGGAGCTCAATTCTATCATCCGGAGTGAGAGATTGGTCCACTTGTTGTTTCACCTTTGACCTCGAGCGATCTTCTCTCTGAGCTGGTCCTGGATTCTTCTGGTCAGGTATCTTCTCCATGACATTATTCTGAAACCGCTGTGAGTCTTTTTCTTTTCCCAGGTCATAGTACTTCAACTCAGAAGGTGGGTTTTGGAGGTAGTGTTGATCCTGTAGGTTTTGTTCAGGACGTCTCCTTTTCTTCTTCTTTCTTGGTTGCTGCTGTGGTTCCTCTGGGTGGTTCTGTGGTTCTCCAGGTGGTTTCTGGATTTCCTTAGGTTGGTTGTCTTGGTCCATCTGTTGAAATTTGTTTTTTAGGTCCCCGTCTTCCCTCTTTTTTCTGATTCTGCCATGTTTCTGGACAGAAAACAGATTACGGCGTCTCTTCATTATATAATCATCAAAATCGTCTCCATAATCCGGGAGAACCTTGTTCCTCTCCATAGCTTTCATTTGCTTCCTCTCCTCATACTTTCCAGCTTTCTGAAAGCCCTCATCTTCATTTCTGCCCAGATTCACGGCTCTTCCTAGCATGCCGTCTCCTACAGGAAGACAAAGACAAGCATTAAGTGTCTTGAAATGGGGAATGAATAAGCACTTCCTTTCAAAGAGTTTTAAGTTCTGAACCATCAAGCTGATGCATGTTTTAATGCAATAAAGACAACAAAATTGACCATATTTTAATAAATTTACCTGATCTTATAGCACACAATTCATGATTATACATTTTAATAATGTTTAACATTATACATGATTAATAAGATAATAATGTTTGTTTTCAAAATTTCATAAAATTAAGCCCTGCTCATTATTTACAACAAAATATTTCTGTTGTATTAAAGGGATAGTTCACCCAAAAATGAAAATTTGATGTTTATCTGCTTACCCCCAGGGCATCCAAGATGTAGGTGACTTTGTTTCTTCAGTAGAACACAAATGAAGATTTTTAACTCAAACCTTTGCAGTCTGTCAGTCATATAATGGAAGTGAATGGGAATCACGGCTTTGAAAGTCAAAAAAACATACACAAACAAAACCAAAATAAACCCTGCGGCTCGTGACGATACATTGATGTGTAAAGACACGAAACGATCGGTCTGTGCAAGAAACTGAACAGTATTTATATCGTTTTTTACCTCTGATTCACCACAATGTCCGTACTGTCCTGAGCGTGTTCTCAACAGCCGGCGCGTGCACAGACCGATCGTTTCGTGTCTTTATACATCAATGTATCGTCACGAGCCGCAGGATTTAATTTGGTTTTGTTTGTGTATGTTTTTTTGACTTTCAAAGCCGTGATTCCCATTCACTTCCATTATATGACTGACAGACTGCAAAGGTTTGAGTTAAAAATCTTCATTTGTGTACTACTGAAGAAACAAAGTCACCTACATCTTGGATGCCCTGGGGGTAAGCAGATAAACATCAAATTTTCATTTTTGGGTGAACTATCCCTTTAAGGAAGTTAAATGCAATGCGAATGTAGTCTTTAAATTTAAAGACACCACAAAAGCATTCATTGTTTGCTGTACCTTTGTATTTGATGACTAACTCCTCATTTTCAGGCAAATCCAGTTGAATGTAGTTTGAGAAGCCGTATCTAAAAAGAAATGAATTGATTTGATATCATAATGCACAAGGTGCACTAAAGGCCTTGTTCAGATTGTCGGTCCAAATCCGATTTTTGTGCATATCCAATTGGAATCTGATTTAAACTTTTGACTGTCCACACTGTGTATCATGTCTGTTCAGACCGGATTTGAGTGTCCGTGGTGCTTTTTCTTTTTTACGAACTATCTGCATTGGTTTCTATGGCAATGACGTTGCGTTGGTATGCATACGCCAAAAACAACAATAACAGCATTACAGTTTGCAATACAGATGTTGTCTTACATCGTGACAACATGTTGCCGTTGTGCTGGATTATATTGCGTCTTATGAGGCAGCGTCAGAAACGTAGGAAGGACGGCTTTTTTCCGTGCTGCCGTCTGGTCTCAAAACTCAAAGAGGTGCATAGACCAGCAGTATACGGTCATTTTCTGCCTGACTTGCACTTCGCGACAACACAGCCTTGTTTCTGCAAAGACATTAAGCATGTTTTCTACAAACAACATCTGACGTATTTACATTTTATGTGGTGTGAGAAAGAGACATAGGCAAAAAAGCTATGCTAAATCCGATCTGAGCGGTCAGACTGAAACAGATTTCCAGAAATGCAGTTTGAATAGGATTTCAAACCACATATAAATGTGGCTTGAAACAGATTTCTAAAAATCAGATTTCAGATGATTTTTTTGTCGTTCAGACTTGCTAAATATGATCAGATTCTATTCGGATATGCACAATAAAATAGGATTAGGACTGACAGTCGGAACAAGGCTAAAGAGAACTAGATTGACTGTACACGACCATTCAAAAAATTTGGGGTCAGTAAGATTTTTTTATGAAGAAATTCATACTTTGATTCAGCAAGGATGCATTAAATTGATCAAATGTGACAGTAAACATTTCTATTTCAAATGATGTTCAAATAAAGCAGCATTTAATAAACATTACTGAAGGATCATGTGACTAAAGACTGGAGAAATGGCTGCTGGACATTCAGCTTTGCATCACAGGAATAAATGAGATTTCAAAATACATTCAAATAGAAAACAGCTATTTTAATTGTATTAATATTTCACAATATCACTGTTTTTACTATTTTTTTTAATCAAATAAATACAGCCTTGGTGAGCATAAGAGGCTTTTGAAAAAACGTACCAACCCCAGACATATGAACGGTAGTGTACTGTATTTGTGCGTCTACCTTTCCAGGTAATATGGATTCCCACGGTAGAAACATTTGTTATCGTTCTCCATGTGTGTGAGCCGTGTGTAGTCATTAGGATACACATACGTCAGGTGCACCTGCATCAGATTAGATTGATCGAGATTATGCATGCATAGGCACAACAACATTCCCTGCTTTATAAAGGAATGCAATAAAAAATAATTTCTCTTAGTTTTCTATGTATGTGTGTGTAAGCACTTACAAACTGCAGGCCCTGGTAGCGCATTAAAGGATATCCCTTTATGCTGTAGCTGGGGTTATAGATACAGTCAGGTAAAACTCCCTGCAAACGTGCCCTGTCCAATAATGGAACTACTTGTACAAATACATACAAACAAGAAAAACATAAATAACACTTTATTACATTACTATTATTATAATAACAATAACAACAACAACATGCACAGTTACATTAAAGGGGTCATATGACGTTGTTAAAAAAGAACATTATTTTGTGTATTTGGTGTAATGAAATGCGGTTTAAAGTTCAAAAAACACATTATTTTCCACATACTGTACATTATTGTTTCTCCTCTATGCCCCGCCTTTCTGAAACGCGTCGATTTTTACAAAGCTCATCGGTCTGAAAAGCGAGGTGTGCTGTGATTGGCCAGCTATCCAGTGCGTTGTGATTGGCCGAATACCTCAAGCGTGTGACAGAAATGTTACGCCCTTACCATATTGTCATGCCATGTACCGGCGCGATGAGTCAACACCAATAAAACCCATTACAAACGAGGCATTTGTAGCATCCAGTGGGGACATAATTACTGATTATAATGACTTATACTGTCGTTTTACTCATTGCGTTGCATCGCGCTGCGTAAACATAAAACCATGTCTGCATTTGTGATCGGAGAAATGACAAACATTGAAATCGCATCATATGACCCCTTTAATACTTAAATGTATTAATTCCACAAACTGAAGCATCTAATGCAGTGGTTCTTTATTTTTAAATGACTAGTATCATTACTAATATTAGTATTATTGTTTTTATTAAAGAACACATGAATACAGTTCTTAAAACTTGTGAAATTACAAAATGGAGAGTGGTTAATTTAATTAAAGTAATGTAATTAATTGTAAGATTCTGAGTTTCTGTTAATAAAAAGTAGCTTTGTCATAATTGCAGCAGAAATAACAAAAATATTATATAGAACATGGGGTTGGGGGTGACCATAGAATATTGTGTTGGATAACAAGGCCCTTTCTTAGTCAAAAAAGCTAAGAATCACTGCGCAAATGTCTCTATGCCACAAGGTGGCACTGAATTCATGTTCTGTCTGCATATATTCCAATGTTTTAAGAAGTGCTTGTACACATGCAACTAAGATCTGTTGTAGATTTTGTCTGAAAATCAATATATCACAAAACTAGCAAGAAACTACAGACAAGAACCAAACATAATATAAAGTGAGGGAAATAATAACAAGAAGTGCAGATGAAAATGATGTAGTATATATTATAACCGAACTCTCATCATCTGCCAGGTCCATTTAATTTAAAACTTCTATATTCCCTCACTCTCATTTTTCAAACCTGTATACATATATTCTGTGTACAGTTATATTATGTACACACTGTCCATTTTGGACCGTTTTGACAGACATGGTTACCATGAACCATCAATGTATTAAAAGAGTTGTGTAAATATTCTTTACTTTTACTTCCACTAAAAATATCTGCATGTGGGTTTGGAACGCCCTGAGGGTTTCCCTTTAACGAGTTAAGTTCAGTGTTTAATAGCTGAGAATGTCTGCATTGTTGGCGTATTATGTTTATTTTGACTATGAAAAGGGTGTTGAGTAAATGAGTTTGTGCCTGAATTTCTCACCCTGATGAAACGAGTCACGTGGATCTGGTCTCAGCATGTCTACTCCATGGGGCGGAGTCTGAGATGACCTCTGGAGCGGAGTCACATGACTGGCAATGGTCTGAGGAATGTGACTGACATCTGCTGCCTTCAGAGAGGACTCATCTGTGCGCACACACACACAATTAGGCCTGGTACAGCAGAGCTGGTTTTACTGTGTAAACTGTGACATACAAAAATTAGGCCATCAGTTTGGAAAGCACACTACCATACTAATTAGTATGTAGACTGTTCAAGTTTAGACTTGATTAAAAATGCAACATTTCTGAGATGACTACTTTTTTTAAAGTATGTTAAATATTATATGTAAAATAGTATTTTCAAACATACCAATTTCAGTTTTCATTTTAAATGTAATATTAGTTTAATTTTATATTGCAGTTTTGTCATTTATATTATTTTTTATATATATTTCTATTTAGCTTTAATTTATATTTATTTCAGTTTAAGTAATTTTAATACTTTAACAAATTAATTTTATTTCAGTTAATTGTCAAGGCAATATTTCAAATTTTTGTTTAAATTTTTCATCTAATATATATATATTTTTTTAATTTGAGCTGTTTTTAAATGAATGAAAATGATACTTAATAAAATAATAATAAAAAAAACTAATTTTAGTTTTAGTTAACAATAACTAATGCAAACACATCACCAAACTAGCAGTCAGAAGACACAAAAGCACAGTTTCTCACTAGAACTACATAAGCATTTATACAAAAATGAATGCAAAGGCCTGTATTGACACACTTCAGCTAAAGCAATATGACAACAACAACACACACACACACACACACACACACACACACACACACTTTGCACAGTGGCGACTACCCCATCATTAGCTCTATTTCAGGGCGTGTGTGCGGACAGGAGCAGCTATTCCAGGCGACCTAACACTACCCTGACATTTCTGCAACCACATCCCAAAATAACACACACACACACACACACACACTCACTCACTCACTCACTCACTCACTCACTGGTGTAGAGGGAGATGAACTTGGAATCAATGATTGAAAATCCATTCCCGATCTGTTTGAGGCACCACTGTAAGTAAAGACAGACAGTGTCATAACAGTGTACAACAATCACACACAAACACCCTCAGTAAACACACTCACCGCAACCTCCACATGGTCTGTTCCTTTATCGTTTTGCTTGTGGATAAGCTCAAAGAAATATTTATTGTTCTTTTGCAGACTGTAAAACAAAAAGTGAAATTTTACCACTTTGGCATGAACACCATCAGATCTTTGAAATTTTTTTATAAATCATCTAATGCAACTCAAAAGTTTTACATTAAAATATAACATGAAATTGACTATTTACTTTATTAATAAATAATCAATTTAAACATTTTTTTCTTTATTCGAAATATTTTTTTTTCTTTATAGTGACGTTAAAAGTTGCTTTCTCAATATGCTTTACCACAAAGACAAGACACATCAGAATAAAACAAAATAATTTAAACAAATACAATTAGGAAATAGGAAATAAGTAAAAAAACAAACAAAAAAACTGAAATACATGAACTATTCTAATGAAAAATCAAGTATTTATATTTTTAATTTTATATATTATATACTATAATATAATATACTAAAATAATGTCATTTAATTGATAAATAAATAAATGAATGAATAATTAAATTTAAAAAACTGTCATGTTCCAGTTAAAGGGACATTTCATGCAAAAATGAAAAAGAAGATTTTTTGAAGAATTTGTGGTAGCCACTGACTTCCATGGTATTTTTTCCATACTATGGAAGTCAATGGCTACCGTCAACTGTTACACAAATTCTTCAAAATATCTTAATTGTGTTCAACGGAAGAAAGAAACTAATACAGGTTTGGAACAACTTATGGGTGAGTAAATGATGACAGAACTTTCATTTTTGTGTGAACTATCCCTTTAAATCAAGTTATTTAAAGTTTTTTTAAGTAATAAAAAAGACAAACGCATATAACAATTATTAAACTGATGTACATCTACGCTTCCATTCTAAACACATCCAGTATGATATGATATACTATCATATATTATGCTACTATCATATTTTAATAAAATGTATTTTATTAAAATTATTTAAAAAGATTCAGAGACCCAACTAAAGTGGTTTTGTAACTTTCTCAGACTAATAATATCAGAGCCTAACATCTCGATGAATTTGATCCATACTGCCTACAGCAATGTTTCTGATTCTGAAATCACATTTTAAAATCACATGTTTTGTTTACTGTTGAATGTGCATGCACATTAGCTGGATCTGCCTTGTTTTGTGTGATTTGAGCTAAAGATACATAATTGATTTTTGTTGTTTAATTTAAAGTATGTTACTGAAATGTAATCTTGGCCAACAGTTGTTAGACACACACACACACACACACACTATTACAAATCATATTATAACAGACAAATACTTCTAATGATTTCCCACTTTGTGCCATGACCAGAATCAGGACACAAGCAGCAGCTTGTGAGTCTACACATACTGAATGTAAAAATAGTTTGTTATCGAGTTATGAGGTCATAACATGGAGAGATGTGTGAGCACCTCCCTGAAGCATTATGAAACACAAACACAGCATTCACTTACGGAATGAGATCTGATATCTGACTGGCGTATTTCCCATATTCCCCTGGGGCGGTCCATTCTCTGCCTGTCTAAAAATGCAGGAATCACAAAATTAAGTGTATGCATTTCACGCATCTGAATGAAAGTAATTGTAAAGTTGACACTCTGTCTCACAAACCTTTCCAACATAAGCGCGGAGCTTCAGATTGTCTGGATTCTCATCATCACTGAGCCAAAACTCACTGTTATCATCAGACGCCACTGCAAAAAGAAAGTCACCTGCCAAACAAAGGGGAGGGTTAACAGTGGGACAATGGCACACAATCTGAACGTGTGTGTGTGTGTGTGTGTGTGTGTGTGTGTGTGAGAAAGAGAGAAAGACAGACCATCAGTATAAGGATGTATGTATCCAAATATCCTGAGTCCATAATTGGTCCAGCTGGGCGACACAGCAAGCTTCTTCACAGTTGTACGATTCTACAGAGATAAAAACATATCAAATGCAATGCAAACAAATACTAAGGTAGCACTGTTTGTTAACATGCTTGATCTTTTTATAGTAGGAATATTTAGATAAATGCTGTTGTTTGCTAGTACTTTTTTGATTCACATATACAACCTAGGTCTATTCTAGCAGTATTTAGAGTAAATGTATCTGTTTAAATTTATTAAAATAAAAAGCATGAAATGTATATATGTAAAAAAAAAAAGGTTATTTTGTCAACTTTTTTCAGAAATGTCCTCAATTCTAACAGACATAGCCTAAAAGACATTAAAACCCATTTCACATTTTTATTTTTCAAAATGTCCCAATTGCAAACATACAGTAAAAACAGTCATATTGTTATTACAAATGAAAATTTTATATATTTCAAAATGTTTATTCCTGTGATTGCAAAGCTGAATTTTCAGCAGTCATTACTCCAGTCATATGATCCTTCAGAAATCATTCTAATATGCTGATTTGAAAACACTTCTTATACCAATGCTGAAAACAGCTGTGCTGCCTAATAATTCTATAAAAACCTAGATACATTTTTTGCAACTGTAAATGTCTTTACTGTCACTTTTGATCAATTTAATGCATACTTGCTGAATAAAAGTATTTGTTTAAAAAAAATATTACTGACCCCAAACTTTTGAATGTTAAGTGTATATATGGCAGATGTGTCATCTGTACAGATATAACACCTACGTGAGGATATAGTGGAAAATGTAGATTCTTCCATAGTTGAGCTATAGATGTGCCACACCAGTCCTCAAAGACGTGAAGATTCGCCATTCCTTTATACTGCAGCAAACATACAACACACAAATATATACAAATGAACACATTTTTATATTCCAATAGTCTATACCATTAAAATATATTTCATCCATCAGACTGTAAAAACAAGGAAAACCCAAGTTTACATTATGCACTTATGGAGTAAGACACTGCACTTTAATAAACATTAAAATACTGTTTAAAAAAAGTGTAGTAATGACATGTTTTCTATAGTGCTGAAATAATTTTGAAGCACTTTTAATTACTAACAAACATACAAAATGAACAAAAATGTACAGCTCATGTGTAATGTTTAAAATAGTACAGGGACACCAGAGACACACAGAGTCTTGCTAAATTTAACAAGACACCAAAACTCTTGCTGAAGACACACAGAAAGAGCCGTGGGCGACATACTCATGTGGCTTAATACCATCATCTTTACAGTATATGCACATTAACAGATGACAGAAATATTACAAACTACTACACTAACAAAGTACCAAAAATACCATGGTATTGGTTTTTTGGGCACATACCAAGGAAATACTATGCTTTTTGAAGATGTGCCATGGCAATACCATGTTTTTGGGTATGCATAATCTTAAAACCATATTTTTGATAATACTATCCATGTGTGTTTCTGTCATTGTGGCCATATCATTACCTCCACCCTCCATGTCTGTTGAGTGTTTTTTGGTTTCCAGATGTCTTTATCACGATTATCGTCATGAGCCTGTGACACACACATAAAAAAAACACACAGAATTTTTGTTCATGCTTCTGCATTCTAGCAGCATTTTGGATTTCGTTTGCGTTTCAAAATCTACTCTGCAACTACCTAGACAACATTTTTGAGCATTATATTTTTATTTCTACAGTATGTACATTTTCTGTATGCATGGAATACTAGAATGACCTACTACATTTGTCAAAATTTGCAGTATACAACCAGAGGATGTTGCATGGAATACCATATCCCACAATGCAAAGTACTTAAAGAAACAGTTCACTCAAAAATGAGAATTTTCTGAAAGCTTACTCACCTTCTGATTATCCAAGATGTAGATGAGTTTGTTTCTTCATTGGAACAGATTTGGAGAAATTTAGCATTGCATCACTTGCTTACCAGTGGATCTTCTGCAGTGAATGGGTGCCGTCAGCACCCATTCACCCATTTTCTTCTCACATTAAAATCCACTGTCATATTTGTTTAGAACTGTTTTGGACAGTTTTCACTTGTAAACAGTGCTTGATCTGTGCATATTTCTCTCCTGATTCAGACGAGGCGACTTTTTCACTGGAGAATGCAATATTATGGATTGAGGACTCACATTTTAGCCTGACGGTTTAAATTAAAAAAATGTCTTGATGGATTTGTTTCTTACAAACATGCAACTTTTCACTTCACGAAATGTTAATTGATGGACTGGAGTGGTGTGGATTATTGTGATGTTTTTATCTGTTTGGACTCTCATTCTGACGGCACCCATTCACTGCAGAGGAGCTATTGTTGAGCAAGTGATAGAATGCTAAATTTCTCCAAATCTGTTCCGATTTGCAAACAAACTCATAAACATCTTGGATGGCCTGGGGATGGGTAAATTTTCAGCAAATTTTCGTTTTTGGTTGAATTATTGGTTTAACTTGACCATTCACTTTGAAATGAACAAGAAATGTCAGCCATGACAAATATTTTTCTTGACACAATATATTTACCTCTGGCTGCTAAGAGTCATGTTTTTAAACAAAACTAGGGCTGCACGATAAATCGCATGCGATATTTAACGCGCATCTTGTCAGAAAGCCGGTTCTGTAATCAGCAGATTTATCGTGCAGCCCTAAACAAAACTGAATTTAAAAATTTAAAATCATTTTAATTCCAAGACTATAACTGGTCTCCGTTAATGAAACATAAAACAAAAGGAGTGAAAGTGTCAGTTTTTACCACTTGTTGAGCAGCAGCTTTTGCCCAAGCAACGCTTTCACTGTGGACGGTTACACCTGAAAGACAAAAAGAGTAAATATTTAGTTAAGTAGCCAATAAATTAATTACATCTGACGGACCATGTGTGTGTATTCGATCCAGGACAGTGACATTAGGTTGCCATTGATGGTTTAGGATTTCTCCAGATAGACTGAAACTGATTCCATGTTCACATTAATCTTTAACAGGAGGGAAAGCATTAACTTACACACTGTCAATCACACCAGACACACTTTCAATCGTATCCCTAATTAGATTCAATTAAAAATATGTATTTTATGTAGTTGTTTTTAGTTTAAATCAGGTGTCCAGCATCCATGTTGATCCATTTATAAAATGCACTAGTACATACAGAGCTTCCCAAAATGCAAAACAGGTCATTATGATTTTTTTTTTGTCTGTGTCACAAACATGCTTCCTTGATCATTATTTAACTCCACACAAAACAGAACATGATTTCCTGGTGTTGATTTTTCATACCAGCAACATATCTGTGCATGTACAGTACATGCTTAGGACATACAACACACTTACATTGTTTTTAAAAAGTCAGTTATGATTGCTAGCTAACCCTAGCTCTAAAAGGAAACTTTTTGCATTTTAAGAAACAAAAAGCATTCTTATTTATTTA